AGAAATTCCTCCTTAGACATTAGTTTTCAATCGTGTTACCTATTGCATTGTTTTAGACAAGACTGTTACCACACTCTTGGTATTTTCAGTTTTACGCCCGGTATCGCCAAGGCTTTTCTTCAGACGTCTGGCTCTTAGTGCGAAACGCAGTATATCTATGCCCGGATTCGAACCTAACCAGAACATGTCCCTAAGAAGAGCATACAAATGCGTTACCCACTGACCTATCACGGGGAGAAGTTGTTGGCGCTCTAAAACAAACAAAAAATTTCCACCCTTCGAAAAGAACAACGATGCACGCAAACGGGGCTAAAAGGTGTCTGACTGCACATGTTTTACGGTTGTTTCCTTTCTTTCTGACCTGTCGGGTTCACTTTGAGCCCCTGATGCCCAAGAAATGGAAACAGAATGGTTACATTTCTGCTAGGCTTCGTTGACGTCTTATTCAGCTTTAACGAGGTCAGTGAATACATACAGACATTAAAGAATAGCAAGGCCTATATGGTCAGGTCTTATTACAGTGTAGAATATAAAGAAAGGAAAACATCTGATTTTTCTTTTGATCTTGGTTTTCAATAAACGTCCTGAGGAATGTTATCACAGGGTAGGCCGAGTGCATTCGGAAGATGATTCCAAAGGAAAAAGGAAAGCTACAGCTGCCATTCATCTATAAAAAAATTGCCAAGAAATGTGTTCTATAGAAAATACTGTATGAATAGTCATTTTACTTTGTTTTTATCCTTTAAGAGGACAGTAGAAAAAGAACAGTGCGGTTGGACAGAAGGAAACTGATCGGTGACAGCCTGCAAGACTTTTGTCGATTATGTGACGTTTGTACCAAACTGGGGGGTCTTTGGGGAGGTCCTCCAATAGTTATTGGATCTAAATCCGCATTAGGAACGACCCAAACGACTCGCGGCCTTCGTTATGTCACATGAACTTAAGTCTTGAACTCAGCAGCAGCGAGCGCGTCAAGCCACATTCATCAAGGGAAATGTCAAGCACTGCAAAGAACACAAGAAATCTTCCGGCTTATCACTTGCACATAAGCATGAAGTTGATGACCCGGCAGCTTAAGTAGCAGTCGGTTTACAAATGCGTTCTCTAAATTCAAACCGCAGTTTAATTAAAAATCGAAATCCGCAAGGAAGAAACTCTCCACAAACGTTTCGAAAGGTAGAAACACGTCAGCCTTGTATTTCGTTACTATGTAAACAGTTATATACGCAATACGAGATTTATTACTTTGCTACAAATGATCATTATTCACTTAATGGAGCTAGTAGTTTATTATATTTATTCATTTTCCTTGGTTGCACGTTATCAAAATACTCTGAAGGGCACCAAATTGGCTTTTTGGATTATTCTGTGTTTTTACTGTATTATCGTTGGTTTATGCCCGTATAAGGCCGTATCCTTGTTTTAGATTTTGAGGTTTGGACATCGGTTATTAGTTACAAATCACATGTAATGTAACAGCCTTGCTAGTCTCCTGGTGAATTCTGCGCGGTAAAGTCATAGTTGGCGAAATAGAGTAAAAAAGGCGTACCGTTACATCCAACGATGGATCATGTACTAGCAAGAAGCACCAGTAGCACAGGGCATTCGGTAAGTTAAATTGCTATGTTTTTGTAATGACCTTGTTGCGTCGACCTGTTACGTCGGTGATGTATAAGTTAAATTAATCAACGAATGATGACTATCAGTTCCACAAATCCGTACTGTATTAGACATTAAATAGTTTTATTAATTACGCTTCTTAATTGTATGAAGTCTAGTGAAAAAAGTACATTTAAAAAGAAACTTCCCACAGTTATATTCAAGTATTGGAATTAATTGTGTAGCTTTAAGATGTAGACATACATATTTTGTAATACCTTTCAATAACTATTCATTATCATTTGATTGTTAAGTAGCCGTACACATAAATGGTTTCTGATCATATGAGTTGTCTTTTGTTTTTGTTTTTATTTAAGTTAACGTATGGTATACGTACGGAATACGCAGATCATCTGGCTCTAAGAATTGTGAATATATTATATGTAGTGATTTTCTGTAGCGTGCGACGTTCCAGTACATACGGTGTGCTCAACGAGTAAACTACTTGTCGTTAGTTTATATGTGATAGACTGCGCTGATACGCTCCATACTGAACCTAAAAATATGCTCAGTCTTCATCTGCATTGTGACGTAATTACTTTGGAGATGCAGCGATTTATCATGGCATCGTGCAAGATCTCCTTTAAAGCATTACTTTTTACTGACTTGATACTATTTTTTGACTATTTATTTTTGACCGAAGATCTGATTGCGAAGGTCCATGCAGAAACAAAGATCTTCGCTTGCAAAAGGACAAACCCGTCGCCTAATATTGCATTAATAGAAAAGGCTAGAGCACGACGAAAGCTGCACAGATGAGTGCTATCTTTTTAGTCGGATAATATACCCTGGTAAAGGATGTCTTGATTAAAAGTTTCATTGCAGGACTACCGCAAAACATTATTTTAAAAGCTTTGGAAACGGGTAATTAATTTTTTTTCCTTTACAACCAATGAATTGGCGAAAATTTACCTTCCATAATAATGATACGGGGATAAGTTAGTGAAAAACTATATTTTTTATAAACAAGTTTAGCGGGCTCGATTATCAGCAAAAATATTGACATTTACGCTGTTTAGCTGAGAGGTGCGATTTATTCTTTTCTGACCTGCAAAAACCAAGTCGAGTGCGGTTGCCTCACAAGTCACAACGCTGTCCTTTCAACGTTTGGGCTACAAAATGTAGTTTTAGAATAAAAAGCGTTTCATTATTAAACACGTTTTGTTTGTGCAGAGGTAAAAAGCTAATTATATTTATAATAAAGGTAACATCAAATAGCGGCCAACTATGTGCGACGGATTATAAAAAAGAAATTACTGCGCCCGATTTACGATCAACCCAATTAACATTACGCTCAACAAAGAAAAACGCCAAGAGCAAAAGTATTTGCCTAAGCAGTTCCATCTTCCGCAGAGCTCTTTCCATAATGAAGCTTTAGCTAACCATAAAAAAATCAGCCCAATCCGGCCAAGAGGTACTTTTTTTTGGGTTGGACAGGCTCGAATCTAGACCGGCACGGACCCCAATAGTGCATTTATTTAACGTCTTGCCCCTCGAAAAACAAAAAAGCTATTGCAAACACACCGTTTGAAATTTTTTATTATCATCGAATGCCTTCCTACCTCGATCGACTTCCCATCAAACGTTCTATATTATTACATTACATTATCAAAGTTGATAGTGAACTGCAGTAAAAAGAGAAATAAAACATAGCTAAGCGGTAAGCAGACGAAGAACTGGTCCTTAAAGATAAATGTGTCCATTGGTTTCCTGTGCGGCCATTGATGGCGTTTCTTCCTACCTCCTAGCTCGTTGGTCATTTTTGTTGCTTTTGTACTGCTAGCCTTATTCAAATCTCTTGTGCTAAAAACCTAGCCTCTGGAAGGGGAAAAATATGCTTTGTTCTGACTATTTTTGCAAAATATTCCAACTTATCAAGCTCTCCTCCCAAACTCTCATTGCCCAATCAGATAAAACGCTAGCTTACTTTCCCGAAGCTCGCAGATAAGCTTCATTCATTTGTGAACCTGATTAAAAACTTCGCTTGAACACTTGATTTGTAAGATTAGAAAAATCATTGAACTGTGATTGTGACAGAACAGAACGAGATCTGATTTAACGTTCTCAATCAGAGTGCGCCTAACGAAAACTGCGGTTTTTCGAGGCTACAATGTTACTATCGGTTTTCAGATTGGCGCCATTACATATTGATATAGCGTAACCCTGTGCAGTCTAGAACGAGCTTAATATTCATCTGTGACTGACTGATCTTATCTCGATTCCATTTGAGCTGACGGCAAATCGAAGCCATAACAAGACCCGTAAAGTGTTTGTTATTGTACGTAGCGGGGTTATTGTTGTGATCATGAAGGCCTCCAGTGCTCATTCTCGCGTCTTATACTTGCTTTATGTTGGATGCCTGCTACATTTAACCCAGACATTGACTATACAGTTGTGATGTTTCTGATGCTCGAACAGGAAAGTATTCGGGAGGTTGAGTTCACTTGTCGATCAGAAACCTGCAATAAATTCGACGTAGTTGGTATCGTAAATTAGCAATAGGATAGCAAATAGTGGAAGTGTCATTTCGAGCGATCAGCTTCGGCTTAACTGGGCAGTTCCAGCCCATTGTACTACTACGAAGCACTCACATGTGTTCTGCGTGAGCGGGTCCCCAGAATGGGCGCCGATTCCAAATGGAACATTGTAAGCAGGGACTATCCGTAACTGCCATTCAATACCACCAGTCGTAGTCGCTTTGCGTCCGTCGTAAGTGACCAATATATTACGTACGTTTTATTTTTGCTTCTAACATTCAAAAGGAAAATGTGTACGTGTCTGTGATTGCAATGAAAGTCATTAGCGATTAGTGATAGCGTTACGTAAATTATTTGTGAATCTTGGAACGGTGTCGATAGTTGAAGTGATTATCTTTGCCGGCTATAGGCACAAATGTTTCATACATTGTACACACTACATTGTGTAAATCCCTACGAACACGAAACGCAGTGAGAGGATATTATGTCCCATTCTGTTGAAGGGATCATATGTTATTAATAGATTTTGGATTAACTTCCTGTAATCGTTTTAAAATATACGTCAATATTGCTCGTACATGGTCTTTTTTAACTTGACAGTTTCGTTTCTGGGTAGCTTGTACGCTTCAATATTAAAAAAAAAAAGTCGTCTTTGTCTTTATGCTTTTCATCAGTTTTTTATTTGATCTTCATAATTATACCGACTGTATCCGAAGTGAACAAAAGCAGACGTTAATTCTATGCGCTGGCGCTTTCAATTGCTAAAGGCACAGATCTTGCTTGTATAGCAAATGCTATCGATCTTTTCTGCAGTGTATCGTTTTTACGTGAAACTTCTCGTAGTTATTGTTATTGCGGTTTATAACAAAACTCGAATTCCATACAGTTTCATTTAATGTGTAACATTCATAGCAGACATAAGCAGAGTACGTTTTTTTCACAGTTTCCAATTGCATAAAAATGTTGGGCTTGCATTTGGCTTTCTTTTAGTGCTCACAGTATCTACTAAGTTACTCAATTGATATAACTTGTGACAAAATATTTTGTCTGGCACTGCCTTAAGGTAAGCGTGAGGCGCGGTAATTAGATCGCCAGAATGGACAGCCAATTGTTCACACAGGCACTTTACGATCTCGGCAAGCAGTTATTGGAAAAGGCTCGAAACGGTATGTAGCATCTTCATTAATATTGCATTTTTATGCAGAAGAATTTATCTCAGTTATTACTGTTCCACTATATTATAAGGATATATATGGTATTGGTATTCGTAGAAAGTGTTCTTCTTTCTCTAATCTCCACTCTTTCTATGCAAGCAATAGGGCTCTTGGCGTTAAAAGTCTAAACTAATTATCATAAGTAGTAGAATAACGGAATAACTTATTACTGCTCAACGATTGTGTAATGTAATGAATACAATCTTAGGCATACCCATAAATGGGTAAACGAAACAATCCTGATTTCCGAAATACTTTTTTTTAATGGCACTGCGCGTAAATATCGCTTATAATTGTGCTGCACCTCATTATAGGGGAAACTGAAGAGGTGCGTGCACTTATGGCCAATGGTGCCCCCTTTACGGCAGATTGGCTTGGAACCTCTCCTCTTCATATGGCAGCTGCGAGCGGACACGTAGAAACATGCGAGGTAACCTATTTCGGAACTGTGATTTTTTTTCAGGCTTGTAGTACTCCGTTCATTGATCTGATAAATCTTTGGTGAATTAAAACCGACTTGTCAAGTTATATGCTTATTTAGTTTCCAAAAAGCTAAAGTACTAATTTCTCACAATTATGTTTGTTTCAGATTTTGTTACGAGCCGGATGTTCGAGGGATGCGCGAACTAAGGTGGATAAGACTCCATTACATCTGGCCGCCTACGAAGGCCATGGAGCGGTAGTTGAACTGCTTGTGAAGCATGGAGCATCATTGGAAGCAAGGGACATGCTGTTGATGACACCGTTGCACTGGGCCGTCGAAAAGGGACACATCGATGTGAGCAGCAATTTAATTCTTACAAAAATTAAAGAAGACAAAAATGCCTGAAAGATTTTTCATAAGATGTATGCAAACTTACCAGTTACTGTTTCCGCATTATTAGATAGAAGTAGATTTGATATGAAAGCAAGCTAAGGTTCGTGAATGGACAATGGTGTATTGCAACAGTACGAGGTGCATGGCATACTATATCTTGATTATAATCGTAAAGGTAGTGTAAATGTGCTAATAGTAATCGTAATAATCTAATGGAGACAAGATTTTTTCCTATTAGGAACTTTTTGTTTCGAAAAATGACTCGCTATTTTGATATTTCTAGGTAATTCGGACTCTACTACGATTCGGCGCATCACAAGAAATGGTTTCCAAATTTGAACTTTCTCCGATGGACATTGCGCTGCAAAGTGAACGCAAAGATATAATTGAGTTGCTGCAGGAGTATCTTCTAAGTCCAGCCACTGTTAGTAATGCGGTGGCGTCCATCTTTACCCCTTCGTCAGGCAGTGGCAAACAGGCGACTCTAACAATTCCCCAGGTCAGCTCCGTTACTGAAGTGCCGGTCACAGTGACGATGGGTCCTCTGCCTGCTTCTGAAAACCCTGCAGTTATGCGTAAAGTATTGGGCAACAACAAGGTTATTAAACTCTCGGGACAGGTAAGCTGATTCTTTTACCCTTTGTGATCATTTGGTTACATTATGACCTATTTTTCTTCACGGGTGTGTAACTAACTTGTTGTCCGTTTGGCCATTCCAATTTCATCTTATAACCACAGAATTAGATACTTGGTTATTCGCTAGAATTTGAAGCTCTGGACGATATTTCCGTCCATGCCACATGAAAAAGGTTTTGTGTGTGCTGGAACAGTGTGCCATTCAGGATTCGATCCTTTCCACAGGCTCAGGAAAGTTGAAGTAAGCAAAAAAACTAAAGCAGTTCTCACGTCAGTTATTTAAAGTGTCAATAACTCTGCCATTAATAATCGTTTTTTTTTTAATTTTCTCCCACAGAAAGTCATTCCAGTTGATAGATTGCAACCAACGCCAACGACACCTGTGCGTAAAGTGGCAACTGCAGCAGCGGCCACATCTACTGCCACAAATGAAAAGGGCTCCTATCTCACGGCTCTAGAAGCGCTCGAGCAGGCCGCTGGCAGCGGGGCTGTCAGTGAGGCGGCCATACAATTTCTTGCGCAGGCGCAGGGCATTCGTGCCGCCGAGGTAGGCTTGCAGGACGAGGATAATCTAGTTGCTAGCGCCCCTGAAAACGGTCAGACAATACAACTTAGCCATATGGGGCGACTTGCACTCGTCAACGCTGCGGCTAACGCGAGCGCTTCTACCGAAAAGGTGAAAAAATGTTATTTGATATAATGTCGTGTATTGCGGTAGCACGGGATATGCCGTTGCGTATTATGATAGCATCATAGAGGTTTGTTGAGAGAAAAATAACATAGATCTTCCGAACTATTTTAGTAGATAACGTCAGTTTTATGGGATCTTATGGATGTTTAGGAACTTTATTGTACCCGGTACTACAGTAGTAAAGATTACGTAATACAAGAGATTTGTATCCCTGAACACCTACTACGATGTGTTTATTTGTTAACGAAGACGTACTTGTTTGAGAAGCATTTACAAGGAATGGATTCACTCAAAGGTCTTATTTATATATGGATCGTTTTTTATTACAATGACTGCAGATAATTATTGTAAATTCGACAAATGACGAAGATCGTATCAGCCTACAGCAACAGCTGGAAGAGATGCGACGAGAGGCTGAGCGGTATAAACGAGCCCTACACGAAAAGGTACTAACAGGAAAGATTTGGCATTTGTTCGTATACTCCTTTGGTCAAAGCATAGGTATAGATAGATCAGATGTAGATTAAGTTATAAAACTTAAAAAAGAATTGCAGACTAACGTGTCATATGCTGAATAAAGTATATAAATTAATTGAATAATGAGCGTATAGTGCATGGTCGCGAATCAATCACTGAAGTGGCGAAAGGGGGGGGGGGGGTAGATCTATATCTATATACAGCCCCAGAGGTGGTTAATATTACACGAATTCTGACCTTACTTAAAAATTACGTCAAGCTTTCAAAATAGTTTTATATAAATCAAGGCGACCCTCTGTGTGTGATTCGTACTTCAATGGCGATACAGCTAAGTAGCTTTGTCATTTCGTCCTCGTTATGGGAACTGATACATTGTAGGCACTATTCTATAGGCAATTTTTTCAAATAAAAAAAGAGGGACCAAAAAAGCAACGCCACGAATTAATTATACACAATGAGTTTTGGAGATATATGTCTATATACACCCCAGAGGTGGTTAATATTACACGAATTCTGACCTTACTTAAAAATTACGTCAAGCTTTCAAAATAGTTTTATATAAATCAAGACGACCCTCTGTGTGTGATTCGTACTTCAATGGCGATATAGCTAAGTAGCTTTGTCATTTCGTCCTCGTTATGGGAACTGGTACATTGTAGGCACTATTCTATAGGCAATTTTTTTAAATAAAAAAAGAGGGACCAAAAAAGCAACGCCACGAATTAATTATACACAATGAGTTTTGGAGATATATGTCTATATACACCCCCAGAGGTGGTTAATATTACACGAATTCTGACCTTACTTAAAAATTACGTCAAGCTTTCAAAATAGTTTTATATAAATCAAGACGACCCTCTGTGTGTGATTCGTACTTCAATGGCGATATAGCTAAGTAGCTTTGTCATTTCGTCCTCGTTATGGGAACTGGTACATTGTAGGCACTATTCTATAGGCAATTTTTTTAAATAAAAAAAGAGGGACCAAAAAAGCAACGCCACGAATTAATTATACACAATGAGTTTTGGAGATATATGTCTATATACACCCCCAGAGGTGGTTAATATTACACGAATTCTGACCTTACTTAAAAATTACGTCAAGCTTTCAAAATAGTTTTATATAAATCAAGACGACCCTCTGTGTGTGATTCGTACTTCAATGGCGATATAGCTAAGTAGCTTTGTCATTTCGTCCTCGTTATGGGAACTGGTACATTGTAGGCACTATTCTATAGGCAATTTTTTTAAATAAAAAAAGAGGGACCAAAAAAGCAACGCCACGAATTAATTATACACAATGAGTTTTGGAGATATATGTCTATATACACCCCCAGAGGTGGTTAATATTACACGAATTCTGACCTTACTTAAAAATTACGTCAAGCTTTCAAAATAGTTTTATATAAATCAAGACGACCCTCTGTGTGTGATTCGTACTTCAATGGCGATATAGCTAAGTAGCTTTGTCATTTCGTCCTCGTTATGGGAACTGGTACATTGTAGGCACTATTCTATAGGCAATTTTTTTAAATAAAAAAAGAGGGACCAAAAAAGCAACGCCACGAATTAATTATACACAATGAGTTTTGGAGATATATGTCTATATACACCCCCAGAGGTGGTTAATATTACACGAATTCTGACCTTACTTAAAAATTACGTCAAGCTTTCAAAATAGTTTTATATAAATCAAGACGACCCTCTGTGTGTGATTCGTACTTCAATGGCGATATAGCTAAGTAGCTTTGTCATTTCGTCCTCGTTATGGGAACTGGTACATTGTAGGCACTATTCTATAGGCAATTTTTTTAAATAAAAAAAGAGGGACCAAAAAAGCAACGCCACGAATTAATTATACACAATGAGTTTTGGAGATATATGTCTATATACACCCCAGAGGTGGTTAATATTACACGAATTCTGACCTTACTTAAAAATTACGTCAAGCTTTCAAAATAGTTTTATATAAATCAAGACGACCCCCTGTGTGTGATTCGTACTTCAATGGCGATATAGCTAAGTAGCTTTGTCATTTCGTTCTCGTTATGGGAACTGGTACATTCTAGACACTATTCTATAGGCAATTTTTTCAAAAAAAAAAAAGGAGGGACCAAAAAAGTAACGCCAGGAATTAATCGTACACAATGAGTTTTGGAGTCTTCATTTCTGTTTTTGTTGGCTTGCGTTTCAGGAAAAAGAGGCTGAGGAATACAAAAAACGTTTGCGGTTATCCAACGAGGTAGAGATTATTCCTGGTGATGATACTGGAAGTTTTTGAGAAAAACAAAAGTTAGCGTGAATTGTGTCTCTCCAATCATTTTGCATAATCAATATGGCAGCCTGAACAGCTAAATCATCCCATCAGTGTCTTATACCAGTCGATAGTCCAATTATTCGTTAAAACTTTGCCCTCACTCTAATAAGGAATGCAAACAAGCATGCCGCAGACTGACGTCATCAGCTCGTTTCTGAGACAAATAGGAACAATCAATTTCAACAATCAACTGTAAATACGATGTATGTACATTCATATAAACTAATTCGTTCTTTACTATTATATTGTTAATAAAAAAATATTTCGAGAAGAGCATTATATGGTCGTATTTAATTGTTATATTTAGGATAGTGCTATATCATGGCTTGTGGTAAGCAAAAGAAAGGCAGCTGTGGCTTAAATCAATTTTGGGAAGAGAGTTTGTTCGTTCGATGCCTTGCGAAAATAGCCTAGTGATAGAAAGGTTGTTACGTCTGTGCTAAGGCTGTTCGTTATTCGGTTGAGCAAAATACTTAAGTAATCAGTAATTTGAAAGCCATGATCGTCTACTTTTTCGGTTCAGGTAGGATATATATGTGTCCCTTATTCTATATTTTTGCCGCTATTCTTTATACCACCTATAACACATTCTCTGTTTGGTGTCTTAGTTTGCTTATTGACGCGGGACAAGATTGTTCTATATTCCATAAACAATTTTCCATTTTCTCCCTTTAATCAACTGCTTGAAGTGTTTCAAATAGTTGATTAGAGGGTGGTTTCGATTCCACTTGGTCAAAAAATTTTTAATTTTATTACAAAGTCCCCATCTTCTTTAATTATCTTGCACTCGCATGGCCCTATCCCATGAGAGCACTTCACTATTTAGCATTTCAAACTGGTTGCCAACTAAGAAGAACTCTATTAATACCGAAAGTACTTATATCGGAAACATAATATTTTGACTTACTTAGACTGATTTATATCTGTACGTTAATGTCACTATGCTATGGAATGCAATTTCTGTTATTTAGTCTTTGTTTCCGATATATTTGAGCGTCAGTAGCTAACGCTGCGTCATTTACACGACTAAATACACCGAAACATTTACCAGTAATATGGAATTACTAAGAGCTACATTTTGGACACAAATAAATGGTCGTAATTTCCTAAAGACTGTTATCTGAAGGTCATAGAGTCGTATGCAAATGCACTCTTTGCAGGGTAACACTGCAAAGCTGATTTATTTATGCGACTAATTCTGTTTGTAAATGGAAATATTGTGTACAAGACAAATATTTATTGCAAATCCATTCGCAGAGTCAACCCGTCTAGTTCTGTACAAAGCATGCAGCAAATCGTATTTTGTCTTTATTTGTCACAGGGATACAGAAGCTTCTCTCAGTCAAAACTTGCACGTCATGTGATCTATAAAACCGGTTGAGTCTCAAGACGGTAATATTTTAGCCAGCAGATTAGTTATCAGAACAGACACTAAGATGCCTTAAAATTAAGCTGATTCAGGACGCTGATAATAAATCACCGTTACGTGAACATCCGAGAAAAGTTAAGATCTTCATTAAAACTGTAAAAGCGAGTAACTCGAGAACTAGGCGTTTGTGAACACTTATCACACTACATTGTATACCATATACTTATATACCATTATATATTATACTTTTCAAAACGTCAGCTCCTGTATTCTTATTAAAAATATCAGCCAGATTAGAGCTCACAGAACTTATTCTAAGCTTGATGAATCCTACATCCGATATAACCCACTCTGCATTCATATGGCATAATATTGCAGCCATGCAGTCTAGGAATGGGTCTACCAAACTATTGCCGACATTAGCGTCGACTCGCGCCTCTTCTGTTTGTAGCCACCTTTCGCCTTTTGCAGCTAAAATTTTCGAAATTATGCGATGATATACCGCCATAGTTTGTTTTGGCAGGCGCGCCTGTACAGATGGACCGATACACGGACTGGTAGACAAGCGCTCGGCCATTCATTATCCTGTAGTCCCTACTCCACATTCGGCTGATCGGGTGAGTTTGGCACCGGAACCGGGCATATGTGTACCCGGGCAGTTAAACGGCGATGCCCGCAGCTGTTTGGACAAGTGGAACGTTGTGAACCACAGTGAACTTAGGCTGTATTTTTACGTCTCAGCCCCCTTTTCTTTTGCGTCAAAAGCGCCATTGACGCCAAATGTCAAATACACATTAATATAGTAAAATGGATGATATTAGAGGTAGATTACTACAGCAATAGCGCACGTCAGTATGAGTAAAAATGATGACGAGACCTTAGTGTATTTTTGATGGCATAAATGACCTTTGCTATTGGTACACATGTATCAATATATTATAATTACATTCCGAGTAAACGAAACGTGTTTCAGATGTGTTACAAAGAGAATTTCCAGCTGTGCACTTCGTTCACTTAGTTTCTACGGTAGTATGTCAGTACAGTAACTGTAATGTGACAGTCTCTGGAAAACTGAACACTTAGTACTAGATGATAGTTTTTTAAACATTTATAACGCCAATTCGGTATGAGCTGTATGCATGCAAATGAGATATGAAAAAACTTAAGAATTATCCGTAATGACCAACTGAGCCACGACAAGCGCGGGATGCGCACTGTTATAGTACACAAGTCAAAACAAAGTATCGTCGGGTAGCTGCCATCACCAGAAGTTTTCCACCACGGTATCAACTGTAGTAGATGTTTCAGAAGGTGTTGAAGACGACAAGGCCTAATGTGTATCCGTGCTACTATGCCCGTATGAAGTGGGCTCGTGCAAGGTAGATAGCTAATCTAAGAATGGACCGTAAATCGAAGCAAAAAGAAGGAGCTTAAAACTTTTAATAAGCTACGAGGAAAGCACTGGACAAGTGATCACATACGGAGATGCCCCTGAGTGAGTAAAGAGTGACATGCTCGAACTAACATAGCTACTAGGAAATGTAGGTGTGGTTATTTTAGTGTACTAAATAGGTTGAATCCGTAGTTTAAGGCCGTAGTCAGCAGCAGAACGCAGATGGTACAGTCGAGTGCGATGTTATCTCTCTAACCGAGAATTAAATCTGGCAATAGTGTACATTTCTTGCTAATAATAACTGTTCGTGTTTCTGACATTTCCTCATATACAAAAACATCTAGAAAGCCGTGTATATTATATGATATATTCAGTTGTGATAATTAACTATTAAAACGCATGCAACAGTCAGATAGACAGGCGGGCTTGATTCGTAGTCAATTGATTTTTAGCCAGCGGCTCTCAATATTCAAGTTAACACCGCTGTAGTAAAAAAGAATGTGATGTCTTATCATAAATAACTGGTCAGTTTGCCGTATGCGCCGCCATCATTTATATTCTCAAGTAAAGTTCTAAGCAGCTGCACTTCCTTCTATAATACGCAGCCGTTCTAAAAATAATCATTAGCAATATGTTACATAACTTGTTCACGCTAATGTTTCATTGAATTACCGGTAACCGCGCGTTTTTTACTGGCGTTTTTGTAATACTTTTAGGAGATCCGTTTGAGCCGGGAGATGGTCTTTCTGTAAGATCATTTCAGAAACATCTATGCCTTGCCTTGCATGCCCGAAGATGCCGACGTCCGGAAGGACAGTGCGGGGTTTCATACTGCAGCACAATGAAGACTGTGCTCGATCACATTACGCAGTGCGTGGGTCCTGGAGATTGCAGGGTTCCATTATGTCCCACTACACGCCGAATAATGTCGCATTGGCTTTCCTGCACCCATCTGAACTGTCCCTTGTGTAGAACGATGTTGCCGTCTCGGATTCAACGCGAGCGACCCCTTTTAGATGAATTACAAGCTCGCCGGGGACAGGCGGATTTAGCTGCTCATGGCGCCATTCAGGTTGTCCAGCCTGCTCCCCATGCTCCACTGAGGCGGTTGCTTGCACCTCAGCAGATAGCTCCCATTGAGCTGCGGGGGCTAGTTGTCGAGCGTGAAGGTAGTGCTCAAAATAGCATGTCAACAGATATGCAGCGAGTCTATGCTGGTCTAGGCTTGCCGTATTTTGCACCAACTCAGGATACGAATCAGGTGCATGATTCATACTTTTGCGGTTTATATGCAAATCTTAACCCTGTTTCGCTCACGTTGAAGACAGGTTTCTGAGTATATTTAAAAATGAAACTTAGGCAGGGACGTGTTGCATATTAATCTCTATATGAAGATAACAGAAAGATTTAATCGAGATTGTGGCGTGCTAGTTTGCTATTGTCATATTAATTTTATTTACTAAGAACTCAAAATTCCAGTTTAATAACTAGTCGCTAGAGCGCCCGTTTTATCAAGAAACCTCACCCTTATCATCGTTACCCATTTACCTTAAGTCGACGCAGCCGAAGCTTGACGAGAGCTTCATTCGCGTCCGATTTCGAGAACTATCGAGAAGTTTACTTATTTAATTAATATCTTTGTATAATTCAAACTTATTGTATCCGCTTGTTTGTTTTGGTTCTAGGAAAACCAGGAAAGGAGACCGCCATCGACCAATACGGACCGTTCACTCTCTGCAGAACTTGACTCATCATCAGGCGAACCAGAAAGGCAAAATGGCGAGGATCTAACTGATCCTAACGAATGGAAAAGTTTCGTTACCCTCGACCAACGAGAACATCTCGTTGATAAGATCGTCCAGTTCCTCTCAGATCAATACCCGTCAATCCCTCGAGTTTTCCTGAACCCCCGAATAGCTAAGAAGCTGGAGTCCTCGATGCTCGAAAAGGCCGGCTCGCGAAAAGAATACTACGATCTGGTGGCCGCGAAGATCTGCCTCATGGAACGAGAATTCCGACGCTGGCAATTGCCCCAACGCGCGGCGCATTAACAAATGGATTAACAGACTCTATCTGTTTTCGTGTTAATATTATCCGATATATATTGTTAAATTATCGTTTGTATCTCAAAGATCATTCGAAAGTAATAGAGTCACAGGATATGTTATCGGAGGTTATACCTAGTGTAATTTTATTGCGTAATGAGATAAGAATACTAATATATTAGATATATAAAAGTGTATGTAAAAGTTAGTTGTGTTCAAACACATACGTGTGTTAAATAAAGTATGAGCAAACATACAAGGATGTGCATTTATTCATTTTATACTTTAATGTACTATTTGTATAACACCATAACACATGATTCTATCTAGCATTTCGACGATTTAATCTCGTTTCGTAACAATTAACCAATTAACGTAGTTCAATCGGCACACAAAATGTTATTATTGGTTGAGGGCCGTAGGGAGCTGTATGCGCTACCGGCTTGTGTCGCTCCGCAAGACAAAACTCGGCGATTTATTGACGGATATTTGACCGGTACCTTCCATCACCGTCCAACTAGTTGTTTTTAACAAGAACGAACATCGTAGCATTTATATGATGAGCGTTATTTGAATGAGCTTCGAGTGCAACCATGATTAACTGTGGCGATTTCGGCTTCGGAAATCTTTATTTCTTGAAAAACAATCTTTATTTGAATGATTTTGAAATGGTATTCAAGATCACCATACAACACCACATGCTTCTAATTTGTAAAGAAATACCTTTAAATCTCGAATCGATTGATAGGAGAACTTTTGCACTTCGGAGTGAGCATCATAAAATGTTTTTAACATAGTAATTTTAATTTGCTTTTTATTACTCAAGCCTCAAAAGCAGGAGATAAGTTAAAATAGAGGAGCTGTTTTTTCTTAGGCCCTAATATACATGGATTTGCCGCTTCCGGATGTAGAATGTTTTAAATGATTTATCGATTGGTATATTTCCCATGTGAAGTTTCAGGTAGCTGTCTAAGTCTCTGTGAGGGTATATCTGCTAATCTTCCAAGAATCCTTTAAAGCGAATGCGAGTTATTAAAGCAGCGATTACAGCGATAACTTATGTGATTTGCCTGGTATTTATCGCGATTCATTATTTTTACAGATTGCCCTGGTAGGTGCGTCCAGGACATCGTCGACTGCCATTTATTAAAATTCAGTTTTTTGTTTATTAAGAAACTTTGGCTACAGCGGCAAATGGGAGTGGTGGACGTTGTATCCAAGTTTCGCTTGAATTTGCTGCACGAATCGAAGACTGTTTTTAGAAACTGTTCTTGGTTAAGGAAAAGAACTACCTTCTTGAAAAAATGGTAGTTCATAAGAGATTAATCTGTTATCTAGAAATAAAAAATCACTTCATAGGTCATCAGCTAAGGGAAGAGACTTGATTAAAGCTTCGACTATAGATCTACCGTACTAGACAGAATGAACACAATGACTGTGGGACAAAAGACTTCGGCGTTTAGGGGGAATTCAAAACGGATTTTTACGTAAGCCAAATGTCCGTTAAGATCCAACTTAGACGGAGTAGGTTTATCAATTTATAAACTTACCATTTATCTCATATCTATATTATAGATTCCATACTTTTTCAGATGTTAAATTATATTTAACTGATAGCTATTTCAGGGTTTAAGAAGTAGCAGGCAGTTCTAGGTGTTAAGAGGAAGTAAATATTGGCTTATGCAGAATCAAAAGTAGACAAAAATTTTGAAACCGATTGTTTTTATATTTAGTGTACGCTTAATTCCTTATTCTATCCTAGAGTCTATAGCAAGTAAAATCGTGTAGTATGCCAAACAACTAGAAAACGACTGCAACAGCTTTGATTATATTTGTTTGTAGGTTTGCCTGGGCTAGACAACACTGTCGTGAGAACGCGATATCCGAAAAAGCTTTAGGGTTGCTGAAGTTTGACATAACATAGGTCGAGTGGCGACAGCCACTTAATCTCAACGTTATTTACCAAACTGGGTAATAGAACTTGCTGAACATGTTTTGCTGCATTTTGTCTTTAACTTTAAATCTACTGAGACCTTTCTCTTTTCGCACTAGTGCTACATACACCTAACCGCGTTAAGGTTTCTGCTCTGAATCGTTTGTTGTCTCCTTCATAACGATACTAACAATAATAATACCAGGTCGAATTAGAAATTACAAAAGTAGGCTAGTTATTGCTATTAGGCTAAGTACACTTATTGTGATATAATATCCGTGCGATGTTAATGAATTCGTATTCAGTGTGAGGAAGCTAATGTGTATGCATTTCCAAGTATACTTTTTAGGTAGGAATTTCTTAATAGCGCTTGATTATCGAGGTTGTTAAGTTCTTGTTCATATAAAACCTTCATATAATTTAAAGGATTTTTTTTGTTACGCTCCAAAAGGAGCGCTTTCGAAATTTCGAAACTTGCTTCACTCAGTTTTCGAAAGTATTCCTCGACATAGGACTTATTTTGATGAGGCTACCATTCTATCGTTCGTGTTCTATTTATAAAATCAGCTGAAATTTGTGAATGCACAATTTTCAGTCGTGGCAATTTTCGATAACCGAAATCCACCAGTTACTTAGCACGTTTCTTCACTGGTCTAGATAGCAACTATAACTCAGTAACTCACCTACTATGTTTATTGAGTGAAAAAACAAGTAAGTAGCTTTGGCAAGCGTCGAAAATAAACAATAGCATAGTCCTAATTTACTATATAATAATATCGATTTCATGGAGTTTTATAGGGAAGTAACTTTGCGAAATGGTTTGTTTGATTAACTTAGGAATGCTCGCCCGCACGAACCACAACTACTATTGTAATTATGTGTATTGACCTATGCTAACAGCTCGATTGACTCAGTTTGAGACATAGAACGCAGAAGAAAGTCACATAACGTTTTTCGTTTTTCAAAAAAGCGAGTAAGAGAGAAAAGTGTTACTTTATGTGCGCATTGTAGTAAATGCCTGATTTAAAATGCTACTAGTTTAAGAAAAATAGTTACTGAACTAACTGTTTGAAAAGTGAGCATAGTTACTAAATATAATTCAGATTGAGCATTGTCTTCTAACCTATAGGCTTTCTTCAAGCCAAAAAACATGAACTAATGAATCAATTAGAAACTGTGATGGAAAAGTATTCTATTAGGTAGCCATTGTACTAGTCACTCCTACGGTTTGTTTTGTAGATACTAACATCTTGTGTGATTTAATAAAGAAAAAAACTAATATTTTGCAATGGTGGACACACCCAGATATATTGTTTTGGTTCGCATATGCATCGACATATTGTATCTTTGTATAAAATCAACGATTGCTACTTGCATTCGGAAAAAAATGACTTTACCTTCGCGATAGAGGTGCAGTAACGCGGCGTGTATCATTTTGTCGTATTCGAACGCATTGAACGGGGGTGTCTGAAAAGGCAAACATTGGCTGCGATACGTATTTGAAACGATTATAAATTCTGCATTGCGACGGGATGATATGTCTTTACGTTACCTAGCACAACAGATCTCCACAAAAACCTCTTTCAGATTGTTGCAATTTTCCATTGTTCTCTAATTTATTGAAAATTTTGCCTATATGAGCAATGATTTTTGCAAAATTGGCAATTCTTTATGCTAAAACAGCGTTTTATTTCGAAATCATTCGTGCTCATGGCCCGTTCAAAAAGTACAAAAGTCATTAGTACTAGTGTTAATTATTAATGTAAATAACGAACAGATGTCCTGGTAATATAATTTAACAGATCTCTCAGGAGATAACACCATTCTACAGCCCTTAAAGGTTGCTAGCAAATAAGGAATTTTTTTGCTTTGTTTGATACGTAATTTATGATATAAATTATTAGGTGATAACCCGATCTTTGTGATAAGGGCTTGCATTCCACTCACCATGGTTCGTCAAAGTTCCGGAATCCGGAATCCCCTATTACCAAACGGGCGGTCACAGTCTTATCAACAGCTAGTGCGCCACTTCCAGTTATCGCACCAGCAGCTCATACGTGATTTTCAGGAATCACACCAACAGCGGGTATTTGTTATCGTTTCCCCTTTTCAATAATACGATATTTCCTATACCGCAAGTCATAAGAAAAGGATTGCACTTGTGTTTGTTATTATAGTTGAGTACCGTCGGATAAAAAGGGGAACAAGGTTTTGTAATAGTTTTATATTACTTATAATTACGTGAACTACGTGATTATTTCAATCATTAATTAATGAACGTAAAAACAGTGCTTATAGCCCCACCCAATATGCTGGGCTTATTAGGTTCGTTTGACAAGATCCATAACTTTTCCCTAAAGATTTATACATAAAACTGCTACACGATGATATCGAATCGAAAAAACAAGTCTATAAAAGAACGCTAATTGATGGAGTTTTTTACGCTGTTGTTGATTGTGGAAAGACGGACCAGGCCGACATTGTACCTGCACGACGTTCGATACGCGTTCGCGCCGTTCGAAAGCGGACAGCTCGCGAGGCTGCTCATGAAGAAGAAATGGCTCTGCAAGTAACGCGGTATTCAGCGGTGGCGATTAAAGAGGGGCACAAAGACACTTTTCTATGTAAGTATTAATAGAGTCGGTTTTTCAGTGCTGGAAGTTATTTCCCATGTGGACAGCCAGCGCAACCTTGGACACAAGCATTGTAACAATTGTAAAAAAGTTCTGTTCTTGGGGCTATTTTACTTGTTGCCTATATTAACAGATTTGGACTGATCCGGTCTTAACGAAACCGTAACGTCAAAAATGGTTACTGGTAAGTTTTTGGATCGTAGTAAAATGTAAATCATATTACTATTATTTGGTGCTATTTATTGTGTTATTGTTGTATTACTTTAATAAGTAATAATTTATAGCGTAGTCAAATATAAGCCTCAGTAAAATCAAACAGTACATAGTAGATTATTAGGCGCTCATAAAAAATGTTGACGTAAACGATTATTGTATGTCAATAAATAATAAATCACGCAGAAGAACCGTTTTCATTACTCATTTTAAATTAAAAAAATAATCGGAGGAGATCCTATAGAAAACACTAATTTGTGGTCCTTTTTGCCATTTTAAATGTTTAGACGAAACTGCCCCCATCCTTAAACGGAAAGAAATGATAGAAAGCACCGCACCGCTCTTTGGGCCAGTTGCGAGGATGTTCGACTTATCTACTTCGCGATTACACCCAAGAACAATAGACAGTTTAAAGGCATTACCTCAGCGAATTGCTCTGAGCGTCCGTAGATACGAACAGCAAGAGCAGCAAAATGTAACTCGAGCTAAATGTGCGCGGCAGCAATTGCATGAATCACAGCGAGCAGTTGGGTTTCCATTATCTCGTCAGGTTGACCAGAAACAAAAACCTGCTCCTGCTCAGAATTATGTTGATGCAAAGCCTCTGCCAAGCAAAACTTGTGAGACCATACAGTTAAAAAGTTTACTGTTTAATCTAGAAAGCGGAAGGACAAGCTCAGGGGAAGTTCAAAGTCTACCGCAAAGTGTAATGCTCAAGCATAGCTTGATCGAGCCAGCAACTGCAGATATACATAAGAGAATATTCAAAACACTAGGACTGCCTTGTGACCCGCATCCTAACCAGGTAAGAGTGGATTCGAACATCTGTACCGAAATTCGTATGCTTGAATTATTCCACTGAATCGTTTCACAAAAGTTCCACTATCTTACTCGTATGGGCTTTAGTCCAAAGGTAATTCTAAACAAGAAAAGCATGTAATATTTTATACTCTACGGGTTAGAAATGTATCCACAACAACAATAGTAGTCTACATCCGGTCTATTTTCGCTGTAGTCCTGAGATTAATACATCTGAATTATGTATTCCTTTTAGGCGCACCACATTGTTGAAACTATGGAATCCCTGACACTCGACCAGGAAACGCCACTGACGTGACCGTGCTCAGAACTACGTGGAACATGCGTCAAAAGTCTCTTTTATATCAACAATCGTGCAACAGATACTGTCGCGTACCTCCGGTCAGCGGCTCGGAGACAGAACACAAAGTGATCTCAATGAAAATTTTAATTTTAGGCAATAGCAATGATAGCAACAGTGAGACGTTTAAAGCAGGGCAAACATCAAAACCATTCTGCTTCAATACATGCACTAGTGTGAAAACTTGAGAACCACCCAAATGATAATAATAGAATAGTTCGCTTTAAGTTAATCTTTTGCCTATCTAATAGTGACAGTTGTCAAAACAGATTTGATTTTCCATTGTTTGGTAGGTAAGATTACCGTATTGGTTACTGCTCCACCTTTTGTACAGAGAGATGTGTCAAGTGTCTCTGGATAAAGACAAAGATGGTAAAAGCACCCCTACACTTAGAAAATAAGTGTAAATAAAAACGGGACGCAGCGGACTTAACGATTAGGCATCTTGTGCTAATAACAAGCTACAGTGATTTCTGAAAACTCCACTCTATTGCCGCGTGACCTTTCCTTTATCTAAGCTATGAAACAATCTACAAGTAAGGCTACCCTTGATGCCCACCCGTATGTTTTCGCGTTCTGTTATATAACAATATAAAATAAAGCATTATACAACAAACTGAAAACAAGCTTTCTTTTGTTCTCGACAACCATAACCATTAGGTACGTCTGTACCTTTGTTAATTTCCGGCCACATTTCCATGTCGGTGTGAGAAGCTATTTCATTTTTAATTGATAGGCTGTTCACAAGGACAACTGGTTGGTTCTCATACTGCCAGAATCCGGTTCTAGCTAGACTCGGGCTTTTTAGAAATAAGATGCGCATTTCATTATGGTTAGAAGGCTTCTTGTTATCGTTCAGGACATTGTTACTTGCTTTCGTTTCAGCTCGAGATCTTACCGTGCGAGACCTCTTAATGGGAGTTACGAAAAATCTTCACATTTAGCGGTCTAGGTTACGTGGGCCATGCTCTATTGTAAACGCCTAGAAATGGTTTATCTGTACAGAGCCCAACGGATACAATTAATCGAGGTCTCCGAGGTACTGACCAGTTTGCTTGACGTTGTTACTATGTTTAGAGTACCAGCGCGATTTGAGAAGGTAAGCAAACCCTTGTGCTAGATGCAGCATATCCGTATGTACTTCTTCTAAAGAGACTGTGCCTCCACAATTTAAAAAAAATATGAAACTATTAACTCAAATTAGAGCAAACTAAGATGTTGTGTACTCTAACCTTACACAACACCATAGTAGTGCGTGCGAAGTCATAAATGGTAAAATACGATGTCATAAAAGAAACAAATTACGATCATCCATCCAACAATTGTAAGAGAGATTCGGGCCAACTCGAATCGGCAACGCCACGATTGTAAAATCAGAAACGGCTGATTTAAGCGTTGCAAATTTATGTAGAAAGACGAGAGTTAGTCACTAAATTGTAGACTGTAAAAATAATGAAGAATTTTTATATAAGGAAGTGAAGACAGAATAGTTCAGTCTGGAAACATCGTTCTTTTATTGTCCTAATTAAAATCAGTTATAACGATGTATGAAGTTTGTTACATAGGCCAAACCGAAGAATCTCGTTTAGGATCCGGTACGCGCTTGTGAGACTAGACTAAATTTATATGTAAAATGGAACAGATTAGCTATATAGACGATGCAGGAAAATTTGCCCGTACTTTACGCTTTGTTTTCCGTACCAACGTTTGTATAGCTATTTTTTCAAATACTGCTATACAACTTTATAAAAGAGGACACCTGTCCTCTAATATATTTGCATACGCGACTACCCTAGGCTTTTAAGTTTCTAACAAATCGTAACTTGATCGAGGTAGTGGTAAATCGTCCAGCCATTAAAAAGCCTGCGCTATATTTTGTATTGTATAAGCTAACAGTTTAGCGTTACAATATGTGATGTCTTCCTTTCATTAACTATACAATCACAACTATAAATTAGTTAGTTCAATGGTTTACGTTAATAAGGAATGCCGTTATGAAAAATACTAGAGAAAAGTCTTGCTACGCTTAACTCGAGTACCTAGCAAGACAGCCAGGCATCACTTTATTAGATACGCTAGATTCCATCCAGACACATACTTAGGACAAGCCCGACTTAATATTGATGATTTTGTACACAGCAAACCTACGCCATCGTCAAGATACCTGAAACCCTTTTGTCGGCCAGAAACTAAACTATCGTGTAAAATCGGAGCTACGCTAACATAAGAAACTAGCAGGCTCGCATTTTAACTTGAGGCACCGTGGTCTGGGTGACGAATGCACATCTATCGGTAAGAGAAGCTAATACGAAAAGTGAGAATTTACTCGATATATCGTCGAGGCGTATTGAAGATATTCCAATTTTTACAGCAACACAGTCAATCACATACACATTTATGAAAGTAAATGGGCGCGTACGACATGTAATATTTTATTGGCAAGCCAGTAAATCACCGATCATGATGCGAAAAAAAAGCTAAAACGTATAATTGATCGCAAAATATATGAATACATCAGTACACTGTGTATTCATTGCTCTCTTATTACAGCGTTTCTTTGAACTGTAGTAAGTTTATGAATACATGGCATATATTGCTTAGTAGAGACATCTAGCAAGCCGAGTTGATGTATCTGAATAGAACAACACCCGCGTGACTGCACCTTATGATCCACATGGAACAAGGATTTACAGTCCGAATGTAACGGCTAAATAAACACAGACAACATTTTTGTTGTAAGATGAAATAGTAAAGTTGACCTTGATAACATAATTCAAACATTCAAACGGAGTGGGCCGTTCTTCGCCTAGCAACAAATGCCACCTAAGCAGCCTAAGAATGAGCGGTCAGAAACGGTTGTGAAGTACAGTAATGCCACAAGTAATCGGTCTTCCTTTTATTCGGAAGGATATGTCGTTCGGCTTAGTCCTAAGAAGGAAATCTCATCTTGCAACGATTCCTGTCTTGTTATTTGACTGTTAATTGCTCACTTTAGACGAATGGCGAATAAACAGAGTTTAGATACTCGTTGTCCAATATCTATTATTCACTATCAACGTATTTTCAACACTATTTCAAACGTACCGGCTCATAAAATAACTAATTAGGTTTCTGAAGGTTTATATAAATTATTTAAATAATAAGAAAAAGAAGAAGAAATTATATAATTTCTTTTTGTCAATGGAAATGTATCCGGATGAATGCGATGGCAAGTCCTAATTTTCCGAGGTAAAATTTCATTAGCAAGCGATATAGCAGCATCTTTTTATAACCGAAACCAAATACACACAAGTACGCACAATGCAGAAAATGCGTAATTCAAATAATGATGCCTGCATGCGCCAGTTAGGTATCTGGGCCTTCGTATTATGACACTGAGTCAGAAGACTCAAAACTACAGCAGTGTCTCATCTCAATTCTGGGGACCTCGTGCACTTGATTTAGGTATCCTCAATTATTTGAGTTTTATGTCCAGTATTGCTGTCAGGCATTCCCTCGGACGACTGGGTCCTACCACGAAGCGTGTTTCTAAGATTAAGCAGGTAAATACGGAACCCAAGTTTCCAGATAAAGCATAACTACACCGATGAATTTGTGAACGCAAGACAATTCTTAAGAGAGCTTGACAGCCACAATTGTCATGTGTGTCGCATACTGCTTTTAGAGGAAGAGTGATTTTTACTAAGGAAGAACAGCTGTCCAGATAAGCAACGTAACCCGACAGGTAGAAAGCTGCTATTTCTTGTAGAAAACGATTTGGCTCTGAAATGTTTGTAAGTTTACTTGTCTGCAGAAAATCAATTTGCCAAAGAAAAAGAGTGGGACCATATCGCCTAAGACGCTCTCCAAAAAAAACTTAGTTAAATTGTAGGTGTGGTACCCGCCACGACATTTTGTGGGGGAACGTTAGTTTATCCGAACGCGCCGAAGATTGTCTGCAGTTTCCCGCCCTGTATCTATCAGATGATCACATTCGTGCATCATCCGGCTTGAAGTAAATTTGTCTTTCCGTGCGCGCATGTAAGTGGGTAACAGGCAGCGTCAAGATGAAGTTTCTGGCAAGAAATGGCAGCACAAGGAACTGCTTGATGTAGTCGTATCTGACAATTACGCGATTAATAGTATAGTAATGTAGTAGTAGTAACAATAGGAGGAGAATTGAAAACATGATACGTTAATAACTTTCTTTATGATCTTCGGGTTAGCATAACCTAACGCCTGCAGTAGAGACGAAAATCAAGAACAAGGAAAGGCTATGCCAGGGTCTTGTTCGTTAGTAATAAAAATCCTTAAAGTCCTTATAAGGATTTTTTTTTTATTAGAGTCAATTATTTACTACTTCATTATTTAAATGATAATGAATTAATTAAAACTGTATGCTTTCAGCTTTGCTATAATAATACGCTTTATTGTAATAAATTTCTTTAGGTTATTACTTCATGCTAAATTGGTGATAAATACATGATGATAAATTGATACCGCAAGGCGAAAAGTTTCTTTCTTAATTCTAGTGAATTATTTCTGTTATTCTTTATGGAAAAGTTTGGTGCTCGTCAGCTTCACAAATTCAGCAAATGCTATCATATACACGAGTTCAAAGATTGTCATTCAATTAATGATCATCTAAATTTGAGACTTCCAAGGAGAAAGACAATTCCTGCACCCGCTTCACCTATATTCTGTAGATTTTTGTTCAGGTTTCGTTCACGGCATTGTGTTTTATGACAAAAGTCGCTGCGGAGACGACCACGATAAAATAGTCGGTATCTCCAAATGAGCTTTGGTCCATATCAGCTCCGTGTGATTAATCTTATACCTATAAGCATGTTAACTAGAACTGCTGAGGTGTCACAGGAAAGTGAGTATGTGCTTATTAAACTTAGGCAGACGTCAGATCGTTTACGTTCGGAATCGGGCGTAGACACTTTGTTGCGAGCCGAGAACTTGCCGCTTGAAGCAACGTTTTATAAGATAAAGCTCAAAAACATCTTGTTCTTGATTCTCATCTTTCATTATTTTTTTCGTCCGAAAACTTTTGGGAATATCTGTAAACCTAATGAAGTATTCGAAGACAGTAATAAAAGTAATCTGAGAAATTGTTTTTTCAACGATGACAGGATTGTTCGGGGCTACGCAGAGCACTCTGACGTTATAAGGAGATTAGATACCGTGTTGTAGCTCTAGAAACTCTATTATACATGACCCTTGCCGAAGACAACCGCCACTCTTTTTTAGGAAGTTTTCCAATGAACTCGTCGAATACTTTTCCTTACATTGTGCACTTAGCGTGGTACCAAAAAGAGTACTTGTTGGTGGTGTTATGACCACACGCTTACGTACTGTAACACGTGCTCGTGTTCCTAGCCTGTTTGCAGACCATGACAAAGCTGTCGGACCAACAAAATCCTCAAAGTGCCCTTCAATGGACCGTAGGTCGTTTGCATGTGTCGCTTTTATGTGTTGGTACTTCCATTAAGCCTTCTAGGATTCACGGGTACTTCAACCCATCTATCGACGATGACGTTTATGTGACCTTTGAGCAGACTGAAATTATTATTACGCACTGCACAGATCTGCGTTTTTTCGTACCAATTCAAATATAACCCCTATTGCTGGCTTCGACGCCTAAGCCTCTGGAAAAAATATGCCAGAGGTCGTTGCTTCAAACTTCACCAATGATGCAGCCCAAAAATGATACAATTTATGGAAATAAAGAGGGTTCCTACGTTGCTCGAAGTAGCGTCATAATTCAAAATTCATGTAGAGAATAATGAAAGCTTAATAAGCACACAATATGATTTAGATGCGTTTTTGAACTGTCCATCGTAGAAGTGTTCTTGAACCCTTCCCTTCTTCGATTCTCTGCAGGCGCGTTAAGCTGCAAATTGTTTTTACAAAGTAGCGTTTTATACATGCGTTTACAT